CCCCCCCGCCCGGCACCGCGGCCCCCCGGAGCCGCGAGCGCCCCCTGCTGCCAGGACGGCCCCGAGCTGCTGGGAAGTGTCGCCCCCTTCTGGGTCCCCGCGGCTGCCCCTACTGGGGGTAGGGTGCAAACTCCACCATCCTCGCCCTGCAGCCCTCGTTGCCGCCACGCGCTTGGGCCGTTCATGAATCGAGGTCAAGTTTGCGGCACTTGATGCGACACTTCGCCGGCGAATGAGTTTGTGGCCTGGCCTGTCTCCCCCGGAGAGCGTCCGTGCAAACGTCCCGGGACGCTTTCTTTAAGAAAGCAGATGAGACTCCCGAGTCCAGCCAAGAGGCCTCCAAAAAGGTTCAAGCCAAGAGGCCTTCCAGAAGTCCAGCCAAGAGGCCTGCAAAAGGTCCAGTCACCTCAAAGAAGTCTTTCCAAATTGGTAGGATTGCTATTTACAATATAAATTCATTAATGTAGCTTTATTACTCATCTATAAATCAATTGAGTACAAAGGGCTGGGCTATTTTTGGTGAAAATCGGGTATCGGGCCTTGGTGCAGGAACCAATCCCCCATTTATAACGTTGTTTCCTAGGGGAAAAAAAAATCGGTTCTGAGTTACGATGCTTCAGCTTCAGACGCGGTTGTCTTACCATGTTGTAAGTCCAAGGATTGCCTGTATAAGCTTAAATATCACCAGCTAATTTGTGGCGTATCAAGTCATTATAATGAATCTGTTAACACATACCAGACAGGTTTTCTGCATGCCACTGGCGATACGTGTACCACAGGTTGGGAGCTGCTGGACTAGAGGGTCTGTGGAGGTCTCCCAGCCCCATTCCTTGAGGATGGGCCATGACCACACGCCCCAGCGGGCCTGGGAATCATGTCCCTGGAGGTACTTCCCCAATTTGCTGACACACCTTGCAATTGGGTTTAAAGTTGTTTTCCACCTCAACGCAGGCCACTCCATTCTTGAGCATCATCCTGGACAACACAGAAATTGGCAGTGGAGAGTGTTTTGATTGCCCAGCTGCAGGGGGTGTTTAAAAAAAGCTTTAATATAAACAGGGCAGAAAAATTTCCGCTAGACCTAACTGTAGGAAAAGCTTATCTGGCCAAAAACAGGAACCTGTAGGACACGGAGTTTCGTGTACAATACCGAACAAGGATGCCTAGTCTAATCCATCCTCCACGTGATATGGGAGTGCACATCATAATTGGGTGGAGCTGGGTCTTCAGTAGAAACACCCAGTAACACTATGCAGTGTTCGGGGGAATGGAAGATTCCAGGGAAGCTGATAGAAAGGACACCGTGTTGAGAGCAGGAGGATCTGGGCTGCACAGAGAAGTGGTGGGAGTGACAGATGGAAGCTGTGTTGGTGTAGGTGGAGAAGAAAAAAGAAAGTAGGCAGCCACCCAAATCTGGCTGTTACGTTACACAACTCGGGGAGTTTGAAGGAGACAGTAGATGCAAAGGAATAATGTCCAACATACATTGTTACCCTTGATGATGTAGTTTCACCCACAATTAGGAAAAAAGTCTCCATTACCTACTCTGTAGCTAGAGAGCATGAAGAACTGAAGACTGTTGCAGTCACGATCGAGACCGCCTCTGAAAGCTTGCGTAGACGCTACCAATCACTAGACAAAGAGCTCTAGACCAACAATGCACTAAAGGCTGTGCTGGTCTGAAACCCGAAACTCGCACTGTCGGCATTAAAAGGAGAAAAAGCTCCTTCCTTTCATATCAGCTATATTCCCAATGTAAGTAGGTGAGAAATCTGGGCAAGATTATTCAAAAGAAAAAAAATTCTTCAGCAAGGGAGGCAGATAAAGTAAGCAGATGGTAAACTAAAAAATACAAATCAGCCTCTAGTTCAGATTATGCCACCTAATACAAAGCGCACACGTTCTAGTTTTTCCTACATGGGTTACATCCTCTGTTGGCAAAGGCCATAAACAGAGATGTAGTTAGCATGTTAGTCTGAAATCAAGTAGAAGACACAGTAAATTTACGCTTTATAAACTAACCTAAGTAGATAAAAAGTGGAAATCTACCCTACCTACTAAAAGTCATAAAAATCACTGATCATTTAGGTAGTGGAAGCGACTGTGAATATAAAAAAGTACTGAAACTAGCTCAGAAAGTAAGCAAATTACCCTCTGCATAAACAGAAGTAAAAGCTCAAAAAATAAATAAATCAGAAGGGTAAAATTTAGGGTAATGTCTAAAATGCTGGCTAAACACAGCTGTGCCTGAACAACAAATAGAGGAAGTAAGTGTTGTCTCCCAGAACTCACCTTAGCTTGTATTTGCAGGGAGATGGACTCACTGTAGCAGATAAAGTCAGCATCTGTTTGGTGCTGCTCAGCAACATGACAATACAGGAATTAAGAACTAGCATTACAAGTCCAGGCTGCAGGTGCCTTTGGCTGAGGATCGCACCTCCAACCAGCATACAAGCAACCACTCTGTTCTCTGGGAAAGCTAAATGAACCAATTTATATAGATATAGATATA